AAGAACTGTGTGAGGTCCCAAGGTACCTATACTTTGAAGGGGACTGGGGTGTCATTGTCCTATGTATAGTTTCTTGTATCTTGTATCTTCTTCAATAAATATCTCTATATTTCATGTTACATGGCTGGATACCTTCAGGACAGACCTCCTATTTGTTTAGATATGTATGTATGTATGTATTTTACCTTATGACTGCCTTCATTCATTTCTCCAACTCCCACTCCCCACCTCTGGCAACCATCACTCTATTCTCTGTATCTATGAGCTTGATTTTTTTTTAAATTAATTTATTTACTTTTTAAATACATTTGTCTCTGCCTTCCCCCCACCTCTTTCCCTTGCCCCCTCCCACCTTCCCTCCCTCAGCTCTTCCCCTTTGGTTTTGTCCATGAGTCCTTGCTATATGTTCCTTGACTTTCCCCTTCCCTTCCCTTTCCCTGCCCCCCCTTCCCTCTTGTCTCTGTTGATTTCTTTTCCTTTCAGTGTTGCTGGTCATATTTTCCTTGCTTCTTTGCATTGTTGGTTAGGTTCTGCTTATAGGTGAGATCATATGGTATTTGTCTTTCGCCCCCTGGCTTATTTCGCTTAGCATGATGCTCTCCAGTTCCATCCATGCTGTCGCAAAGTTTAGTACTTCTTTTTTTCTTTCTGCTGCGTAGTATTCCATTGTGTATATGTACCATAATTTTTTGTTTTTAATTTAGATTCCACATATAAGGAAGATCATACAGTGCTTGTTCTCTGACTGACTTCACTTAGCATAATGCCCACGAGGTCTGTCCATGTTGCAAATGGCAAGATTGCTTTTTTTTTTTATGGCTGAATATAGACATTTACTGTTTCCATGTCTTGGCTATTGTGAATAATGTTGCAATAAATGTGAGGATGCAGATTTTTTTTGAGTTAGTATTTCTGTCTTTGGATAAATACCCAGAAGTGGAATTGCCACATCATATGGTATTTCTATTTTTAATTCTTTGAGGATTTCATTATATCGTTATTATCGTTTTGATTGTCTTCCCTGAAGGTTTTACATGTGGGCAAAACTGATGTGAACTGAGAGTTCAAGGTATGTGGACTACTTGAATTCAAATATACACTGAGTTTGATTCTGCATGTCTCGTACAATCATTTGTTGCAATTAATAAAGCCATGTTCTAGACTGTTAGAGACATTTAATCATGTGGACCACTTTCTAACGGATAAAACCTGTATACGTCAAGTAGTAATTTTGTGATAGTAGCAGTGATGACAGTGATGGAGGTGCTAGTGATCGTGTTGGTGCAGGTCACCATAGTTGTGAGGACAATGGCGGTGAAGGTGCTTGATGCTGCTGCTGCTGCTGGTACAGGCAGGAGGTAGAGGCGTTGGGAGCAGTGATATTGCTGGTGGTGGGACAGAGGAAGAGGTATGAGGGTGGGCGGTGACAACGACGGTACCACAAAGTAGTGGTGGGGAGGTGATTGTGGTGGTGATAGTATAGTAATGGAGATGGGAGAGTGGGATGGTAGTGACAGTGGCGGTGGAGGTGACCGTGGCAGCCTTCACTGAGCACTAACTATACAAAAGGACTCTACTAAGCATTTACATGGGCTTTCCCATGCCTATTCCAATATCCTGTTATGTGGGAAGTAGTATTTGACCCCTGCTCTAAGTTAAGCCATACGTTAGTCTCTTTGAGGGGTTAGAGAAGTGTTTTGTTGGGGGTTTTTTTGCTTTGTTTGTTTTAAAAGAATCAGAGGCCCTGTCCTCAAGGAGATTATATTCTAACAAGAATATATCTTGTACGTACAAAAAAGTATCTAATCCAAGGTAGAAAGCAGTCAGTTCAATAGAAAGTACAGATGGAATGCTTCAGGGGCCAATATTTACTCCATGCAGTCCAATTCTCAAAGCATTGCATACACTGTCTTGTTTGCTGACCAACCGATGTATGAGGCATTATTGTAACCACATACACTACTGCTTATTTAGTGCAACTACGTGCCAGGCACAATGATAAGCAGTTTATTACATGATTTCCTTTCATCTTTACCCAAAAATCTATTATTATATTTTACAGATGAGGATGCAAAGGTTAAGAACCACAAGCAAAGTCATACAGCTTGTAAGTGGCAGAGCCAGGATTCAAACCCATGCCCGTCCACACAAAAACGCTTTTAGCTATATGCCATGTTGCGTGGTGATGGCATTGGAGGCATTTACAAAGGAGGAAATATATGAAATTGCCAAATTTGAGAATAGTTTGGGAGAGTTACTTTAAAATAATATTGGTGGTACAATTTTTTAAAAATTTTATTTCATTTAAAAAAAAATCCTTGCTTATAAATTCATTCAGAAACCAGAGCACAGAATAACACCATAAGAACCAAAGTTCAAATCCAGGTGTTGGGTATAAATAACTCCTGACATGCATCACTTTTTCTCTGTACGCTGATACCTCCCGCAGACTGTTGTTTCAGAGTGTGAAGTACATGGCAAGAGTGAGCCTTAGAGCCTTCAGCGCCACCTAGAAAAGTCTAAATCAAGAAAGAGATGTATTTTCAGTTTTGGGGATCAAGGATGAAACCTATTTTAAAATAGTTACTCCTATTTTTTCAGATAAATAGGGGAAAGAGGACCTCATGCAATAAAACGAGAGTTTAAATGTGTCTCTGTGTCCCTCTGGTATAACATCCATGGCGTGCAGTCAGATGCACACTGTTGTTCCTACCTACCTTGCCCGCCCGCCTTAGAACTTGACCTGCGACCTCCCCAGACAGGGAGGAGGACGGGCTGGGGATGCCAGTGTTAAGTGGAGAGCTGTGAAAATGAGAGCCACCTCCCCTGCAGTTCCGCATGCACAAACGCAGCAGAGTAGGCATCTCATTTCTGAGAGCACGTGTGCACTTGTGCGCATGTGTGTAAGTTCTGTTCCACTAATGCCAGTTGACTTTGTGTTTTTTTCTTATGGAAATTCTGATTTGCAAAATATAGTATCACAGGTAGGATTTTCAGATGTCTGAGACTTTCTTACTTGTTTATTTCCCTCTAAAATTACACATTTGAAGTATTTGGGATGTGCTAGGCACTGTGCAAAATGTATTTAATTCTCTAAAAAACATTATAAGGTTGTAGTGTATTACTACTATCTTTAGGTAACAGAACAGGTAAGGAGGTGGCTCAGGGTGACAGATAACAATGGCAGACAGGACTCAAACAAACGCCATAGGTCCTGCTAATAACCACTGCTCTACAATACCTAGAGAAGAAAAAATTACAAATTTTATTTAATTCATATAAACTGCCTACTTTTGGAAGAAAACTTCCTCTAGTGGTTTCAATCAGAAGTAACAGCAACTGAAGAAGATACTCATTCTTCAAGCCAGATTCCAGGGCCTTTGGTGAGGCAGTTAATGTACCCATTAATGTATCTGCTCTATCCTCATATCCAATGACCAGTTATTCTGGTCAAATCCTACCTCTTCTACCAAGCTGTCATTTCTTAGTCAAGTCATGTACCCTCTCCGAGCCTCAGCTTGTTCATCTGTAAAATGGGATAGATGACCATTCCACCCTCATGGTGCTGTATAGAAGATTAAATGACAGAAGACATGCATAGGGCTGAGCATAAGACCTGAAGTGAACTGAGTGCTCAAATACTCAGAAAGTATAAAAGTGAAAAAGAAAGCATTATTAATCTCTTGAGATGCCTTATTAAAAAGGTTAACTTGAAAATTATTTACTCATGTGGAAAGAAACATACGCATTACATAGCCTCTGTTGAGCATGTGGCTTACCTAGGGAGACCACATGGCTAATTTTGGCCCACAGACAAATTCCAAGGCAGATTGCTGGATAACTCATGCATATCTCGAGGTTTCCCACAAATGCCATGAAAGACAGCGTAGCTAGTTAGCACCGTGCTTAATCCCAATCCAAATGGTTTAATTCCTGTAGATTCTCTCTTCTCCCTAAATTCCCTCACCCCACCCACACTTCTTCCTGAAGTTAATGGAGTGCACTTGGCATTGCAGCTTAAATCTTGGCCAAAGTTATGCTAATCTCTGGGGGTGCTTCCCTGGAAATTCAGCTGGAAATTCCTAACTTCTTTCAAGCCTTGTCAATGGTCAAGTGAGCCAGCCCTTCCACCTCTGCCATTCTGAGGAAATTCTTCCATAAGCTTGAAGACAGGAATTTGGCTTGGTGACATTTCTAGAAAATACACTGCATTGCTATGTACACTTTATCCACATTTCTGCCAGGTTTTCTTGAAGGAAAGTATTTTTGAAGGCCCAGTCTCCTTAAATAAGATGAGTTTAGACTCCAAATAAAATAATCACACCTTCTGTTTCATTAAATTTTAGAATTTTCATGAAATAAACATCTATATTTAGCTTCTTAGATTCTCATGCTAATCCTATAAGTAGGTAGAGACCCTATATTTAGAGATTTTGTAGGTAAAATACACCTCTTTATTCTGTTGGGTTATTTGCAAAAGAATTGAGATGTTCCTCATATATAAAGAGAAAACTAGGGAAAAAACAGCAATATTTCTGGTATGGGCATGTGTGAAGAAGTATTTCACTAACATGGTAAGTCAACTCTTCCTTTTCTACCAGAACATTTATGGAATGCTTTTTCTTGTGTTTTAACAAAGTGTGTTGATTGGCCTTTGACAAATATCTGGGATGGGGTGGCAAATAAATTTTTTTTTCATGTGCCAACACCTGCCACATGGTAATGGCTCTCCATGCACTGTGTGAAGACATAAGTGGAGAATGAATCCGGGAACAAGTGCTGAAATTGATTGGTTATGTCTGCCACGGGAATGGGAGTAAAGCACAGCAACCCCATGCTGTGTATTTGTCTTCCTTGGCTAAGAGTTCTGTTGTCTGCCTATGAGGGTTTTTTTTTGTTGTTGTCGTTGTTGTTTTTTGGGGGGTTTTTTTTGTTTGTTTTTTTGCTTAACCCCTTCACTTTATACTAAAAGAAAAGTTATTTGAGTTGTTCTGTTGCAGGACATGAAAACCATGGCAGAAAAGAGGAACTAGGTCCTACCAACAAACCTGGAGATGCTTCTCTTCAAGAGTATTACATGGATGTAGCTTTCCTCATTGATTCTTCCCAAAGAGTGGGAAATGATGACCTTAAGGACGTGAAAACTTTCATAACCTCAGTGCTTGATTACTTTCACATTGCTCCAGACCCACTCACTTCCACCTTAGGAGATAGAGTGGCAGTTCTGACCTACTCTCCTCCAGGCTATAAGCCCAACACTGAAGAATGCCCTGTCTACCTGGAGTTTGATTTGGTTACTTACAACAGTATATACCAAATGAAACATCATGTTCAAGATTCTCTTCAGCATCTCAATGGAAATGTTTTTATTGGCCATGCCCTGCAGTGGACAATTGACAATGTCTTTTCAGGAACCCCTAACCTGCGGAAAAACAAAGTTATCTTTGTTGTATCTGCTGGAGAAACCAACCCCTTAGATAAGGAAGTCTTAAGAAATGTATCTGTGAGAGCCAAGTGTCAGGGCTACTCCATATTTGTGTTCTCTTTTGGTGTTGTATACAATGAGAAGGAATTAGAAGAACTAGCCAGCCACCCACTGGATCATCACTTAGTCCAGCTTGGTCGAATCCACAAGCCAGACATGAACTATATCATCAAGTTTCTCAAGGCATTTGTCTATTCAATCAGACGTAAGTCATTAAATCTTTTCTTTTCTATTGTTTTTTTTTTACATTTTATCTATCTATATATCTGTTTATTTCTATAACGCATCATCTGTATATTGTATTGTGTGTTCACCACCCCAAGTCAAGTCTCTTTCCATCGCCATTTGTCCCCAGTTTACCCCTGCTACTTCCCTCTACTGTTGTCTGCCTATGAGGGTTTGGTTTGGTTTTGTTTTGTTTTTTGCTAACCCCTTCACCTTTTATCACCTAGCCCTCCAAATCCCTCCCCTCTGACAGCTATCAGTCCGTTTTCTGTATTTGTGAGTCTGTTTATATTTTGTTGTTAGTTTATTTTGTTCATTAGATTTCACATATTAGTGAAATCATATGATAATTGTCTTTCTCTGACTGGCTTATTTCACTTAACATAATACTCTCCAGGTCCATCCATGCTATCACAAAAGGTCAGATTTCCTTCTTTTTTTATGGCTAGATAGTATCCCATTGCGTAAATGTACTGCAGCTTTTTTATTACTCATCCACTGACAAGCACTTGGGCTGCTTCCTTCTATTGCTTTTGTAATACATTTAATGTCTCTGTGTACAATCTATCAGGTGACTTAGTAACATGATCCTCTCTTCAGTCAAGTGTGGTGGAGTCTAAGACATGAGTAAGAGGCAGTTGGAAAACCACAGAAAAAATATCAGGTCTTATTGGCTTTGAACTTTACTGCTACACTATCGAGATATTTGTCAGAAAAGCCCTATGTGGGTAAAAAGTGTCTTTAAACCCTAACCTGTGAGTGTTTACTACATACAATGTTCTTTCAATGGATTTTATCCTTAGTACAGCCCTCAAAGAACAATATGAGTATCCCCATTTCCTAAGTTTGAAAACTAAGATTCAGAGACATTAAATAAATTGCTCAAAAGTTCATAGTTAATAGTGGGCAAATCCTAGACTCAACTCCACACATTCTGACCCAAGATTTGTGTTCTTGTTCATTAAACTATACTTCAGCTTCTAAACCCTTAACGAGAGATACTGCTATAATAAATAATATTCTACTACCACCACCTTCCACCTACTCCAAGGATTTTAATTTTATCTTGTCATTATAAGTTACCTTGGTTCTGACTAGAATTCTAATAAGCCATAGGCACAAATCTCTCCTGGAGCCTCTGCCCCAGAGAGCAGGCTTGGGTGCAGCCAGGCAGGAGAGTTAAGGTTGTATTCACAGTGAGGCTTCGAGAGTGGCTGCCCTAGCCTCTGTCCACATGTTGTCATCTTAGACTCACTTATAGAACAATAGAATACCAAAGAGCTTGCAGCAGCAAGCAAGTGCTGGCCCCTGCTGTGGACTAGGAGTAGGTCAGAGGCCACATGGTATGGTTGGCTGCACCTCCAGATTTTCTGGCACTCAGAAAGTCCCAGAAATCTTGGCACTCGGGATTTATATTTAGTAGCAGGCTTATCACTTGCAAAATATGGTGCCTTGTTCCAACACCAAGATAAATGGGCCAGGCAATTTCAATAGCTAATGGTGTCTTCTAGAAAGATCCTCCTTTTATGGGGAGAGGAACAGATGATAGAAAAGATTAAGAGCTGTCCTTGGATTGTAGCACAAGCCTGGGGCATACAGAGCATGAGAATTTTTGACTCAATTGCCACTGTATCTCACTGACTCTGCCAATGAGATATTGCAATGTCGAGAGTGCCCACGTTGCTGAGTCCTTTATAAAATTAAGTTGCTCTTGAAAACACGTCCAACCGCAGGAAGAGATGAACTGACTTTGGTAATACCCAGAACATGGAAGAGTAAGATTTGGATTAACCGGCCCACTCTCCCTCCAGGGGCCTTCAATAACTATCCTCCTGCAGACCTGAGCTCCACGTGTGTGAACATCACCTTTCCCACCCCAGAGACCGCCAGCACGGAAGACACTGTATTGTGAGTTGACAAATTCACAGTTTGGGTGACACTGCATCTGAAAACAGCACTAAAGACAATAATTTGAAATGAATGGCGTTTTGGTTTTCGGGATGCAAGAAGTCTGTTTGTGGCTTGTGTGCATGTGTGCGTCCGTGTGTCGTAAGTGCTACTGGTTGTGATGACAGCACAGATCTGCTGTTAATAAACGATAAACAATGACCCCTGTTAGCAAGGACCATGTTTCCGTTCCTTTCACTTTTACAAAAAAAAAAAAAATAGAGGCCCTTAAAATCTTATCTGTAACCCTATAACACCATTCTGATATTGAGTACTGCCAAATACAAATGATCGTATCAAAGATTTGATGTACCAGTCTTAGAACAGTAGGAAAACATGAACAAGAAAAGGTCACAAAGCAGCAAAAAACTTGCTGTTTAATTAACAGAACCCGTATGAAGACCAGCAGGAGTCTTTTAAGTTTAATCTTGCAAAGTAAAATGATAAGTACTCAATAAAAAAATTCAGTGATGAGAATAATATTGGCTTGGAGTCTTTGACCACTGACACAAATGTCTAATTTCCCTTCAGAATATTAAAAAAATTACCCCTTGGTCAAATTTCATCCACAAACTGCATTTGGATCATTCCAACCACATGCATAAAATTTATTCCTGTTGTATTATCTGGCTGCATTGACATTTAATCCTGCAAGGGACTTGGCTTACATATTTTTCATCTCTTTTCTCTTTCACTTCAGCCTTTTTCCTGAGGTGTATGAAATAGAGACAGAAAACAGTGAGCCGTCTGGTGAATTCGGCTCCCATAAGCAGCACATCCTTGCACTAGGGAGTAATCATAGTAATGATTCTGGGACCATTACTGATTTGATCCAGAAGTTATACCTGCTCTTTTCAACTGGGGACCTGATGGTGAAAGACAAGGAAGAGGCACATTCACAAGAAATCGCAGCTCCAGAAAATGATAAACCATGAGGATAAAAAAAAAGGTAGCCTTGAATACAATAGAACTGGAGACCCTAAAGTACCTTTTTTATTTGTTTGGATTTTTCCCTGGTGAAAGATGAGCAATGAGAACTCACTGACAGGTAGAGATGGTAGGATAGAGGCGCTTATTACCTAGGGCTACAAGGGATCTCCTGAATTAGCGGGGCAAGGGAGATAAAACTTCAGAAAAGCATAAAGGGAGTCAATGGTGCTGACACAGTTAGAACTAGAATAGGTATAAATCTTTGATGGGGGTGAGGGAATGGAAACATAGAAGGAGCAAGATCCAGGACCACAGGTGCTGAGTAAGAAGGAGGAGCCCTGCACCCTTTTGAGAGAAGAAGGAGGAGAGAAACCGTGCAATGAGCCTCCAGCATTTGAACACTCAGAGTCTGCCTTCTGCCTTAGCAACCAGGGCTTCCCGTTTGGAGATGCAGGCTCCTAGGAGAGCCTCAGCCTCAGTGGCGTCTGGAGAGAACAAGGCTGCTGTGGTTCTGAGATCTCGGTGGTGCCCAAGGGCAGCTTCTTGGGCTGCATGAGGAAACAGTTATGGACCTCCAGCTAAAGAGAAAACTGCCAGTGGAGAGCAGGAAGCTACAGTAGGCTCCAGGGTAGCCCACTTTAATCTTAAAATGGAATAAGCCCATACTGCCTATTCCTGCCCCCCAACCCCCCAGAATAATTACAACTGAAAACTCCAGACAAAACATAAAATGCAACTATTACACCTGAAAACTGCAAAGTACACAAAAGCAGATACATTGTGAGGGGGCTTGAGTTTCCCACTTTCTTTTCTCTTTTCTTTTGGTGCTTTGGGAGGAGGGCAGGCCCCAGCAAAACTTGGTAGTGGCCCCATACCTCTGGGCAAAGGAGCTAGAAACAGGGGCCTCTGTTTGTCTAAGATGGTGGAAGAAATTTTTCCTCTTTCATCTCGTGGTTTTGCTCTGAAGGTGGGCACAGTTTGGAGGTCAGTGAAAGGCCAGACAGCTTAATTGGAAGAGAAGGCTTCTTTCTAGCCAAAGGAACCAGGAAGAGAGGCCCTGTTGGTTAGCATGTGGGGGTAAACTCAGAGAGAAATGAACTTGAAAAGTGGATTCTCTAATACTAATTAGGGGAACTCCAGGAATCCTGGGCTCCCCTGCTGAGGTGTACATGGCTGGGAAAGACCCAAAACAGGAGAGCAAAGGCTTTGGATGGTAAACTGAGATTTAAACCACTGCCCACAGTAGTGAGACAGCACCTGCATTCTGAACCTTCGTGGTTGATTGCTTGCTTAAAAATTTTTTTTAATGCTATAGAGAATTATAATAGGACTTAGACTCTATATAACATAATATTTAAAATGTTCAGGATAAAACCCAAAATAATGCAGCTTACAGTGAAGCAGGAGATGTGAACTATTTTCAAAGGAAAAGACAATCAACAGATGCCAACCTCAAGCTGACTCAGATGTTATAATTATCAAAGATATCAAAGCAGCTATTTAACTATCCTCCATAAGATAAAAATAAGCAACTTGAATTGAACAGAGAGATAGACATCTGCAGAAGAGAAATAGAAATAACAGTAAAGAATTAAAAAGAAATTTTAGGAGTAAAAAGAAATACAATATCTGAAATTTAAAAATTCACTGCATGGGTTCAGTAACAGAATGAAGATGACAGAGGAAAGAGTCATAAACTCAAAGACAGACTAATTATATAATCCAAAGAGAGAAGAGATTTTAAAAAATTAACAGAGCCTCAGAAACTTGTGGAACAATATCAAAAGGCCTAACATTTGTTTCATTGGTATTCTAGAAGGAAAGTAGAAAATTAGATTCATTCAGGATAAAAATATTTGAGGAAATGAGGGCCAAACACTTACCAAATTGGTAAAAGATATAACATCACAGATTTTAAAACTCAAAGAAAACCCCACCCAGACACATCATAAACTGCTGAAAACAAAAGATAAAGAAAAATATTGAAGCATCTAGAGAAAGACTACATGTTACAAAAGAAAGATATAAATATTCAAATGACTGTTGATTTATTATTCAAAACCATGGAGGCTAGAAGACAGTGAAACTATAGATATAGATAAATATAGATAGATATAGATTTTAGTGCTGAAAGAAAAGAGCTATGAACATAGGATTTTATATCCAGTGAAAATAGCCCTCTGGAATGAAGGCAAATGAAGAAATTCTCAACTAAAGGAAAATTAAGATAATGTGTTGACAACAGACATAGTCTAAAGAATTATAATGGACAATCAGGACTGAGGGAGGTCAGATGTCTGGGGACTATAAGGGTGAAAAAACTGAGGAAGAGACTCAGATGAGAGATGAAGTAGGGGATTGGAAAAGAGGCTGACCAAATAAGAGAAAGTGTCAGGTACCAGATGCAGCTTACCCATGTACAGAGCTATTCTGTTTGTAGGGTAATTTTACACACATGAGCTCTTCAGGTTCCCTCCAAAACCCTGTGTGGGAGACAGGGTTTGATATTCTTCATACGCAGATGGATAAACTGAAGCTCAAAGAGGTTTAGTGCCTTCTGGGACTTGACCCAGTGTGGCCGCTCCTAATTCAGTGTGCTTTCCCAACACCACAGGGAGGAGTCGGGGTAGATCAGAGACAGAGCAGGTGGGTATAAGAGCGGACGTCTTAGTGAGCTCAGGCTGCTATAACAAATGCTATGGACTGAGTTGTTTGAACAATAGTAATTTATTTTCACATAGTTCTGGAGGATGGAAAGTCCAAGATCAAGGCACCAGTCAGTCTGGTTCCTGGTGAGAGCTCTCTTCCTGGCTTGCAGACAGCCACCTTCTTGCTGTGTCCTTCGTGGTGAAGAATCCTGGTGTTTCTTCCTTTTTTTATAATGGTACCATGTTTATTAGGTCAGGGTTTCATCCTTTTGACCTCCTTAATCACCACCTTAAAGGCCCTACCTCCAATATAGTCACATGGGATTTAGGACTTCAAGGTAGGAATTGGGGGCATGGGACACAATTCAGTCCATAGCAGGGCATATACTGTAATTAACAATGTAATCACAGGAGAGAACCCCATAAGTCAGCATTTCCCAAACTTGTTTATGCATTATAATCACCTGGACATTTGTTGACATATTCATTGTCCAGCCCACACTTCACATCAATTAAATCACATTCTCTGGGGGTGAGACACAGGCATCCATATATTTTTTTTTGAAGTTCTATAGGTGATTCCAGTGTGTAAGCTGGCTTGGAAAACTGCTATAAATCTTGATTGAATCAGCCCTCTGAGCTTTCTTAAGGTGGTTTGTTGCTGATATGATAAGATTGGTAAAAACAAAAGGGTTATTATCAAGTGAGCATTACCAATATTTTTCTTGTTTATTGTCATTCCTCATAATTCCTTTCCTCCAAAAGTTTTCTCTGTTTTTCTCTTGATATCTTGGAGTAGATGATGTCTCTAACCATTTCCCTCAGAGGGTGGCATTTGGTGACATTTGGCTAGTCCTGCCCTGTGAAGGCAGTCTGAGTCTCCTCAGGAAATAATCAGTGAGGCTGTTTCCTTGGAATCATGGAAGGTTAGAATTTGAAAACTGGAATGGCTTTAGAAATCAATAAGTTTTACTATATCTTTAAACAGATAAGGAAATGGAAGCTATAGACATCTGAAGTGTATTACCAAAGAATAGTCACATCACCTAGTCCATGACTCCTTTGTCACAATGATACATACTCTGTTTATAGAATGCAAGTTCACCTTAAAGTTAGTCCACAAGAAACTGATAATAAAACCTATCTCTGTGTTGTTGAAAGGTTGGAGATGATGCCTATGAAACTTGGAATACACACTGTGCCTGGCATATAATCAACTAGTGTTATTTGTATATAAATTATCTAAGCCTGGTCATTTATTTGACCAAAAAAATACATTCCGAAGAATTATAAGCCTATATGGCACTTTACCTATCTTTTGTTTTCCAAAAGAGAGTGTGCTTTTCTTTTCACCTGCTCATTTTTCTAATATTTTCACTTTACCCATCTATTTAACATGTAGATTTTCTGTTTGGTTATTATAATGTAAATTTGTAAAATTTCTTTTTCTTTTTTATTCTTAAATCATGTTTATTCTATTACAGTTGTCTCAGTTTTTCCCCCTTTGCCCTCCTCCACCCATCCTGCCCCACGTCCCTCTCCCACAGTCAATTCCCACTCTGTTGTCCATGTCCGTGGGTCATTCATACACGTTCTTTGTCTAGTCCCTTCTCCCTCTTTCCACCATTGTCCTCCTTCCCCGTCCCCTCTGGTCACTTTCAGTCTGCTCCATGTTTCCCTGCCTGTGGTTTATTTTGTTCTTTAGTTTATTTTGTTGAATAGATTCCACTTATAAGTGAGATCATATGGTATTTGTCTTTCATTGACTGGCTTATTTCACTTAGCATAATATTCTCCTGTTCCATCCATGTTGTCACAAAGGGTAGGAGTTCCTCCTTTCTTTCTTTCTTTTCTAAATGCAGATTGAGTTTATTTATTTATTTTTTAATGTCAAAATCCATTATAAAATATTAAAAAATTTAAGTCCATTATAAATTCTCAGCAATTAAAACAACATGACACCAGCACAGAAATAACCAAGTAGATTAATGAAATAAAATGAGCATTCTAGAAACAAATGTATATATCTAACACTGTAATATGTGATTAAATTGATATTTCAAGTCAATGGGGAAATAAGGCTTATTCAGCAAATAAAGTGCATGGACCACTATTACTTGAAATAAAACAAATATAGAGCCCTATTTCACACATCGTACAAAAAATATTCAGGTGAATTAAAAATCAATATGTAAAGTCTAAGGAGTTTTAGGAGAAAATACAAACTAATTTTTTTTTACCCTGAAGTAAAATATTCAAACCTAGAAGCTATGAAGTAAAATATTGATAATATGACTATATTAAACATTTAAGACTATACAGTAACATACATATAAAAAAGTCAAAGGACACATAAT